GATAGCCAGAATCTGAGAACAATCTGAGTGCCCAAGAACAGCTGAATGGGTAAAGAAACTATGACATATCTACACAATGGAATACTATGTATCTGTTAGGAAAAATGAAGTCATGAAATTTGCCTAAAAATGGATGGATATGGAGAGTATCATGTTTAATGAAATCAATCAGAAGGAGAGGGACGATATAGAATGACTGCACTCATTTGTAGTATATAAAAAGATATAGTAGAAGACTTATACACATGACCATGGAAAACAGGAGCTAGAAGGACTGGTTAATAGTTGGAATCAATTAGAGTTGTGTGGGGGGCTTAATGTATGTAAGATAGAGAAGAGATCAGTATGACAATAATAGCTAGGAATGATCATGCTGGACAAGATCTGAGTGTTAAAAGTAGTTAAAGGGGTATTCTTGATAACATTTCAGTGTCTGAACAACTGAACCACTGAACCACAAACTGGACAAACTGGCAGGCTACCGAATGTAACCTGCCCACATGGCAGAGTCTGGCAAACTCCTCGTGGCGTACCCAATATGCCAAATACTAGTAACAGTGATGGGTCTCATTCTCCTAACTCTAAAAGAGCCTTGAATATGGCACTTTTTAAAAAAATCTCAGGGCTAGGACGAAGGAGACGTTACTGTGGCCTGCTCAAGGCAATCGGCGATTAACAGGATGGTCATGTTCGTTGTGATTTCAGCGTCAATATTGGAAACCACAATGCCCAAAAGGGGTGGGGAGAGGGGGGTCAAAGAAGACACAGAGAGAAGAAAAGACCCTGCCATAGAAGCAGCCTGGGGGTTGGGGGGAGGGAACTTGGAAACACTGGTGTGGGGAATGTACACTGAACTTTGTAAGGGTCTATATCATAGTGATTCAATAAAAAAAAAAATTTAAATGTGTTTTTTCAGAGTATCCTCTGAAAAACCAGAGAAAGTTCCATCATCTTCCTTTGCGTAAGGAGACAGGAAGAAGCTTTTTACTTATCAACAAGAAGCAGGTTCTTATTTGCCTTAATCTTGAATGACTAGATTATCCAAGCATGAGAAGTAACTTTAAATATTAATAAGTCTCAAGTTTATGATATTTTAAAATAGCATTCCAAATAACCAATCAACATGAGTGTCAAGGGGAAAATTAGTGAAATTTTAAGATGCATTAATAAAATATCCTGTCGTTAGCAAAGAACTAAAACTGAAATTCAAGAATTTAAAGCTTTTAAAGGATTTTTGGGATAATGGAGGAGGGCTCCTAATACACTGATGGTAGGCCTGATGTGCAGTAGCACGAGCATATAATTATAATATTTGTACTATTATGAAAAATAAATGAGTTGAAAAGGTAGTTCAAGATTAAGGTGCTTGTACTACATGGTCCCCTGAACACTTTCAGAAGTGATTTTTGAGCATAGCACCAGGAGTAAGTCCTGTATACAACTGGATGCGCCCCCCAAGTCAAACAAATGAAAAAGTAAAGACAAATACATGATAATCTTTAGAAAGACAATGATAGAGGTTATTGAGCTCTTTGATTTTATAACTTTGTACAATAAAATCATGGAAATGAACACTATTGTAACCTTACATTACCTAAATTATAATATTTTTAAATTAATAATTAACAAAAATAAAAATAAATAAAATTTAAAATACTCTTTAATTACAAGAGTTATCATTTAGTATAAAGGGGCAAGGGAGACATTTACTACATTATCAGTAAAGAATTAAAGAAATGTGTGGAAAATAAAGACGATTATAATCCTAGTCACTAAGGGAAGACATCTCTAATACATTTACATTCACTTTAAAAATAGTTGACTCAATTTCTATTCCAGGTTGTATATCTTGCAAAGAAGTATGTCTTAGGTTTCTGGATCTATTAAGATGGAGGAGGTTGAGAGTTTTAGTAACAATCTTCAATTTGGATGGGGGCCCAGATTTCATTGATCCTAGTAATCTCAAAAAGAACTCAAAAAGCTTTACAATTCCTAGAATTGCCATTTCCAAGGAATCTGCAAACTCACACTGTTACAAACTAACAGTCTGAGGAACACTAATAGATTTTATTTTGAAGACTATCTTAACCTTTCTTGATTTCATTATGTTCTCTCCTACCTACTGTTTGGTGGAAAATGGTTAATATACGTGTTTTTGTCCTAAATATTTGAAAATATGTTTTCTCACACCTCACACATTTTACCTAACCAGTTCCATTTAACTGGTCACAACAGGCTTTTAAAAAAACATGATTGCCACCCATTGCCTCTTTTGCAAACCACAACCCCCAATGGGAGAAAGAGAACAAAAGGGAGTGCCCTGCCACAGAGGCAGGGTGGAATGGGGGGAATGGGGGGTGGGAGGGATACTGGGATCTGTGGTGGTAGGAAATGGACACTGGTGGAGGAATGAGTATTTGATCATTGTATAATTGAAACCCAAGCACAAAAATTTGTAAGTCTACAACTGTACCTCATGGTGTCTCACTAATAAAAATTTAAAAAAAAATTGACTTCACACCCAACCGAGGCCTTGAGTTGCCCCTCACGAGTGACTCTCTGGAATGGCCATGGCACCAGAGGCATATGGACTTAATCCAGAGTCCAGCAGCTTGAGGCAAAATTGTGAATGGACTATGCGTTAAACTAGGACGCCATGCCCCACTCGCCAACCGGGAGAGAAAGGGTGTCTGTCTCTTCCTTTTTCCCCTCCAGCAGCACAATGACCGCAGCCTCAGAGCTTATTGGAAAGCCAGGTATGAGCAGGAGGTGATGGGTAACTGCAGCCTTATATGGGAAGGGGAGTGGAACTGGCTCGTCCTTCACGCCCAACCGAGGCCATGAATTGTTTCCCACGAGTGGCTCTCCGGCACGGCCATGGCACCAGACGCACAGAAATTAATCTCATAATTATCAGGCTCTTGGCAGAAATCCCTCCAAACTTAATTAGTAAAATATCAGAAATCCAAAATCGCGTGGCTGCGATCGCGACCGCGCGACATCATATGGTTTTCATAACCACTAATAGAAAACAAATTATTCCACAATGCCTTTCCAGCAGTTCTGATTGTTGGGGGGAAATTCCAAACAATAATGGTGCATCTTCTGTCAAAATAATGAATGCAATCAAAGTAAAGAGAGAGTTAAGTAAGAATCATCTGCCTCAAAGGCATCAAGAGGGGTGGGAGGGGGGGTCTATATTGGGGTTCTCGGGGATGAAAAATAATTACTGGTGAGGGGAGGAGTGTTCGATCATTGTATGACCGAGACTTAAACCTGAAAGCTTTGTAACTTTTCTCACAGTGATTCAATAAGTAAATTTTAAAAATATAACAAAATAAAATAATAAATAATTGAAATTTTGCTTACACGATGCAATAGAGTTAACTTTTCATGTACAAAGTTATTATGCCAGACCCTCCACTACGATCCTTCTATCACTTCTAATCCATCTTCTCCTTCCCCTACACCCCTCATATTTAGTTATCTTGATTCTGCAATAAAATAAAAACATATATGCACACCCACGTACATTGCTGCAACTAGTTCAATAACCAACCTATGTAAACAACACAAATGTCCAATGAGTGGGTCAAGATTTTGTGATATATATATACATACATACTTATATATACATACATATGCATGTGTGTCTATGCACACAGAATTGAATATTATGCAGTTGGAAAAAAACTGATAAGGTCATGAAGTTTGCTGCAGCATGAGTGTGTCATGATAAACCAAATAATCAGATAAGAAATTAATAAATCATGAATTATAGCACTGTAGCATTGTCCTCCCGTTGTTCATCAATTTGCTTGAGCAGGCACCAGTAATGTCTCTGTTGTGAGCTTGCCAGCTAAAATAAATTTTATTTGTATCTGTATGTGCGCGCGAGCGATAGCACAGCGGTAGGGCGTTTGCCTTGCACGCAGCCAACATGGCTGACCCGAGTTCGATTCCTCCGCCCCTTTCGGAGAGCCGGGCAAGCTACCGAGAGTATCTCGCCCGCACGGCAGAGCCTGGCAAGCCACCTGTGACGTATTCGATATGCCAAACACAGTAACAACAAAGTCTCCAATGGAGACGTTACTGGGCCCGCTCGAGCAAATCGATGATCAACGGGAGGGCCTTTACTTACTTATCTGTATGTGTGCTTATATGTATGTCCCCAGAAACCATCTTGAATGATAGTTTGAGTAAAAAATGGTCATATTTGGAAAATGTTTTTTACTTTTTGATGTGTTTTTTAATAAAAAATAAATGTTACTATTTCAAGCACAAAAAATTCAAGGGTTTGTCCTCATTTGAGGATGCCTATTCCCTTTTTTGTTTCTTTATATGCCACAGATGAACTAGAATATCCAATATATGTTCTTCCATCACTTATCAAACTTATTGTATTAGTGTACTAAATATAACCTTTAACTGCTTATATTTTGGTTCTTCAGAATTTGGACAGTAAGTATTTTCCCCAGTTTTGTGCTTTTGCATTTTGCTGAGTTATATCTTCTTATTCCTCTTTGCTTACTTATCCTCCATCAAAAAAACCTCATTTCCACTAGAAATCTATCCAGTATTTATAAAACAGTATGCCTTATTATCTTATTATCTCATTCCTACTTTGGACAAACTGGCAGGCTACCGAATGTAACCTGCCCACACAGCAGAGTCTGGCAAACTCCCTGTAGCATATCCAATATGCCAAATAACAATAACAATGATGGGTCTCATTCTCCTAACCCTGAAAGAGCCTAGAATATGGCACTTTTTAAAATCTCAGGGCTAGGACGAAGGAGACGTTACTGGGGCCTGCTCGAGGCAATCGATAAACAACAGGATGGTCGTGATCGTCCTGATGTCATAGTAGATAGATTTATACTTCAAGACGCAAGGATCAGTATCATATACACAAGTTGTCTTGAAAAAGAGTTCCCCCAGGCTTCCCCTCGAATCAAGCAGGAAATGGCTGAGGGAAGTTTGTTTTAATATGAACTCACAGGAGGGCCAGGAATTCCAATGCCTGGGTCACCACGGTTTCCAGGAGAGCCAGGAATTCCAGGCAGACCTCGTTCTCCCTAGAAAGAGAGAAGAGAGAAACAAGATCAGGATATAAGTTCTAGAAGGAAAGGAATGATATAAAAAGAGAATATGGCCCAAAGTCCATCCAATTTCCCATTTCTTTATGTAGAACTTTTCCAACATCTATGCTTCTATGTACCCTTCTACAATTTACCTAGCCATTGTATCATCCCCCAGGTCCACACACAGGGACCATCAAATCCACTGTTGTATGATCATGAGTAATTCAAAGCTGACTGTGTCCCAGCCTTAATTAAAATTCCAAATGTGGTGATAGCAATTTTATTCCCAATATGAACATGAACACAGTTCCTAATTTGATGGTGCTTTTTCCTCATGCTTCCATTCTGACATCACAAATTTTACTGTGTGCCCACACTTTAAACTCTCTTACCAAATAAGAGAGTTTACTCTTAAACTCATAAATAGATTTCAAAATGTCTATAATTTGTGAATCATTTTTCCAGATGTTAAGAAGGTCAGAAACTATTAAAATAAAATATTTCTTTCAAAAGTAGCTTATACAGTGTTGTCTTAGATGTCAGGTGTCTGGAATGAAATTGTAGCTTCAACACTCATTAACTCTTGACTTGAGAAAGTGATAAGGTCCTGAGCATCACTTTCTTCATCTCCATGTGGACAGTAATGAAAAGAGCTAGGTATCAGCATATGGCTAATCAAAAAGAAATGAGACAAATAGAGCTCTTGGCACAGTGTGTGCTACACAACACAAGTCAGTACTTGTGGGAGTTACTGTTTTCTTGTACCTATCACAATTGACTTTGATAAGAATGCAAAAAAGAAAAAAGAAGAAAAAATAGAAAATTGCCGTTTCTTTTAAATATCGTATCTCCATATCCACAATTTCAAAATCCTCAACTTCTGAATACAAGTGTATACTGTCACAACTAATAAAAAAATCTGACATACACTGCAGGTATTTACAATCCTGAGCTATCCCAATTTTATGCATAGTTGCCTATTTCTATTACATCAATATAATGAACTTGATTAGAGGCAAAATCCATGTATCAGAGTGAATACAAATTCTATGTAGTCAGTATAATGCAACAATTACAGAATAATGTATACAGTATTAATTTATAAATTATTGAATAAAATGTAAGAGTGCATGATCCCAATGATTCTGTGTATGGAATAGAACTGTTGTCCGGTATTTGGTCATTTGATTCTCAGTCAAGGCTAACATAGAAATGCTAGACCTCTTTTATAAAATTACTTAAAATATCTATAATGAGTACCTTGTATAACAAGTGAAAAGCACTTCAGATGGTTGCTACTACAAGCCAAGGAGATCTGTGCAACAAACTGATTTTAGGTGAAAACTTATTAATAGGAACACATTGGTTTATTAAGGTTTATATTTATTCATATTAAAGAATCTCAATAATAATTTCCTAAAATAGAACTTGATCACTATTCAAAAGGAGATAGCAAAATGAAAGCTGAGAAAATAAGAGAAAAAATGAAGAAAAACTGTAAATATACTATAGATCCATGAGAGGAATGACAATTACTTTATAAAAATTTTACTAAATATCAGTGGACTGTACTCAAAACAAAAAAGTGAAGCAGTCAAACTGACTGGAAAATGGAACTTAATGTTCTGATATTTATGGAAGACCTATTTTAATTTTAATATTATGCATGAGCTCAAAATGAAAAGTTGGAAAACAATCATACTGTCAAATGGTAAACAAGAGAAAGCAAGTGTTACCATATTTATATCACATAAAAAAGATTTCAAGCAAAATAAAAAGGTAAAAGATGGAAGCTGGCCTCACATACTGGGGGGAAAGGCAGCTGAGATAGAGAAAGGACCACCAAGTAAAAGATGTTTGGAGGGCTCACTCAGGATTTGATATGCTTGCTGAAAGTAGACTACAGACCAAACAAGATGGCCACTCAAAACCTCTATTGCAAACTACAACACCCTAAGGGAAAGAGTGAGCAAAAGAAAATGCCCTGCCACAGAGACGGTGGGGGGATGGGGTGCGAGGGTATGAGGGCTACTAGGATCATTGGTGGTAGAGAATGGGCTCTGATGGAGGGATGGGTATTCTATCATTGTATGACTGAAATGTAAGCACAAAAGCTTGTAAGTCTGTAACTGTTCCTCACAGTGATTCATTCACATATATATATATATATATGCACACACACATATATACATATATACATACACATATATAAAGATGAGTTAAGAAGAGGCTGCTAAAATCTCAGGGCTGGGAGAAATAGAGATGCTACCAGCACTTGCTCAAGTAATTCGATTAATTAATGGGATGCCAGTGATACAGTGATAAACACACACACACACACACATACACACACACACACATATATAGAAGGTCATCTATTATATGGATATTAGCCTTAATATCTATGGCAGGGAAAACAGGGTTTAGGAAGACTGGTCAATTGTTGGAATTAACCACCAGTGTTTGTGGGGCTGGGGGTAGGTAAGATAGAAAAGAGAACAGTATGACAATAATAGGTGGGAATGATCACACTTGACAAGATCTGAGGGTTGAAAATAGGCAAAGGGATATTCTTGATAACCTTTCAGAATCAATATTGCAAACCACAACACCCAAAAGGAGAGAGAGAGAGAAGAAAAGAACAGGTGGGGTGAAGGTGGGGGGTGATGGGAGAAAACCTGGGGACACTGGTGCTGATAAATATACACTGGTGGAGGGACGGGTGTTGGAACAATGTATGACTGAAATCCGATCATGAACAGTTTTGTAGGGGTCTGTGTCACAGTGACTCAATAAAAATGTTTTAAAAAAAGATAAAAGAAACAGAGGAGTTATATGTCATAAAATATCTAAGGATCAAATTATCAGAGCTTAACATTTACTGGTATATATTCAGCAAGTGAAAGAACATTAATATGTATATATATGAAGTAATTGGAGCATAAATTAACTAAAGAGAAATCTGTATTGAATTTTAGATCTTCTGTATCTAAAATTCAGCACATTTTATAGTCTGTTCTCACCATCGATCAAATAGAGAGAAAATCAATAAGGAAACAACAGACTTGTGAGAATTTGAAAGAGCTCTACTTAATGGAGTCTTTTTTATTTCACTCTAATATCAAAGATATTAATAAACATTATATTCTAATGCACATGAAACATTCACAACCATAGACCACATGGTAGGAAACAAAATATATGTAAACAATCCATGAATATTCAAATAATACCAATATTCAAATAATAACAAGATTCAAGTAATATCAGATCACAATGAGATAATACTAGAAATCAAAAATAAAAATAAATCAGGTGTGTGGGGGATATTTGCAGACTAAATAATGTGCTATTAGGATGACCATCAACAATCAGAAAGTAGAATAGAACTGAGAGTTCCCAATTTAATCAAATGTTATATGAGATAATCAATTTATGTCAAAATAACCACGAGCATAAACAAAAAAAAGGAAAGTCGATGGAAAAACTGAATATCACAAGTTAAATAGTTAAATTGGACCACACTTTCACATCATTCACAAAAGCTGTAAATTTTAGTCTGATCCTACAATATACACCAAAGAAATCATAGGCAAATAATCCCATAAACATTTTTGAGTACAACTCCATTAGCAAGGGGAAGAAATTAAAGTGACTTAACATAATTATATATATATACACAGTGAATACTGATTAGTATTACATGAAAAGATGAAATATTATTTCTATTATATTATAGATGGACTTGAATATTGTGATAAGCAAAATCAATGCAAGTGAAAGACAAATACTGGGAGATCTCAAGCACAAGTAGTGTATATATAAGCAAGGAATATATTCAAGTGAAATTAAATCAGATATGCAAACTCTGACCACAGACTGAAATTTCCAAAGAGCTAGCTGGGTGGAACTGAAAGGGTCTCATGTACTGCAGTGTGAATATAATGGCACTTTAGTACCCCTAAAATGCAACAGCATTGTTACTTTTGTAAGCCAAAGCTCAATTAAAAAAAACTTTGAAACATCTGTCTGCATCTAATCTAACAACCATTTCTAATGGGAAAGGCAGAATTTTCAACCTTTCACAAAGTTATTGCCTCTGTACTATTTTTTACCCCAAGGTATGATAATTACTTTGATGGGTATATAAGTTACATATTTCTTTAATTAAAGTTTACTTTTTATTTATTGTGAGTAGTGATTGGGGTCCAGAAGTTCTCACTCAGTCAAGAATTCTACCACTTTCAATAATCTCTACTAAGGGTAGAATCGAAATCTCACTCAAAGCAGGTGGGAAGAATAGGGATTGGAAAGTTCTTGTAAAAGATACGACGGAAACACAAATTTCTCACCTGGGTTCAAAAATATAGTTTCTTACTCTTCAGGGCTGTATATGGTTCTAATTCCCTGAGAGGCACAGTGTACCTATGTTCCATCCTGGCCTCTATAGATAATTCACATTTTGTAATTTCCTTCATATTGCCATTGCTGCATTCTAGTTTTCAAATATAATATAGTACAACAGATTCTTGGAAGTATGAAAAGCTTGGGAAATGTAAAAATCTAATTAGTTTGCACAGGAGAGTGGGAAAAAGAAAGGAAGTCAAGAAATAAAACAAATATAGAAAAACTGTGATGAAGAAACAATGCTATGATCACTGCTGTTTCTCTCACCAGCATCAGAAAGTGGATTAATTGTTAACAGGCCCCACTGATAGTCAAGTCCAGAACCATGTCAACCCGTGACTTTATATAAATTACATGATCTCTTTGTCCCTTAGAAACCTCTTTAAGTTACAATTGATGAACTCTACATATTTTCCATCTACATTATTAAAAATCATTTGAAAAACATATGATGCAAGTGCATTATTATTTTGCTAACAGAAATAAAAATATAAAGTAAACAAAATACTCAAATGTCAGAAAACTCCGTCTTTGATGCCTCAGTTTCTGTTTTTAACATGTAATAACTTTTATTATTTTCTGTTTAT